CCCTATTCGCCACACACTGAACCTAGGTCCCACGAGAAAGCGGATTCTACGTGGTGGGGTTTCATTTTTCTTAACATTTAGCGTTGGCCTGCACAATGGTCTCTCACTCCAGACACGAAACTCTACCTATTACAATAAACTTTTTTCCCACGCAAACGCCTAGACGGCTGTCATTTACCCACCAACAAACACAAATATTTTATACGAAGTCGCTAAAAAAAAAAAAAAAACCAGTGCAGTACAACGCATACTTTTCCGCACTCTAACATAAACACTAGAGAGATAACTGACACCCTTCACACGACGGTCTTCTCTATTGACATATACAGCCGGACGTGTTCCTACTTACACTTGACCGTCTGACAGCTTAAGGCGGAGACTGACCGTCCAGTCACAGTGTCCTAGCCGGACTCCGTCAATCTTAAGTGTGAAAATTGGGCGGAGCTGACCTAGATAGGCTTAGAAACATGAGAAGTTCCCGACTACTACTAAACCTAACCTTACCCCCCTTCCCATACTATGAAACGTTCTGGGAATTTCTCTACAAATCTCGATGCAACGAGATGTGGTCTTATCAAATTAAAGCACTACGATTTGTCCTCAGAAGTCGGAGAACATCTGCCTGAGAGGCAAAGACTAACAGTCTGCATAGAATTGAGCAGATCAGTAAAACTGATGTGCACGCAAAATTCGGGTTCTGGAACAAGACTAGGGTTCAAAAGTGGACGAGCAACCAAAACTTTCCACCGTAGCTAACAGCTAGTGAACGTTATCAGAAGAAGAAAAGGGAGATACTCTGCTTAATTTTGATTCTCCTTTCAGGCGATGCCCTACAAGACCCACTAAGATGTCGACACGACGGGCTGCCTATTTCGACCACACACCAGAGACGCCGCAGAACATGAAAGGAATTATTTTGGCCTTGCTGCTGTGTGTGTACACCGCTTGTGTTGTTTTGTACATATCTGCCTCAAACACGGCAATACGAATCACAAAACATAGCAGCAATCTTCTCTTGCAAATAGAACAAATGAAGGTAAACAGAAGACAGTTTCCGTTTCTTTTGTTAAATTCAATTTGTCCTGATGGTTCTGTGTGGAATGGCTTACGTGGCCGCGTGCTTTTTTTTTTTAAATTTTTTTATTAATATGAAAGTTATGAAAAAGAACCAGAGCCTTTACTGGATGAGGTACGATCAGCAATGTACAGCCTGAAGAAAGGAAAGTCACCAGGTTGCGACGAAATACCAACAGAAATAATTCAAGCAGGAGGAGAGGCCAGAGTGCGAATCTACCGTGCACTGTGCACGAAGATCTTGAACAATGGCATTTAGCCTAAAGTGTGGAAGGGGGGGGGGGGGAAAATAATCTACATCCCTTTCCCAAAGAAATTAAATCTGAAACTATGCTTCAACTATTGTACCATCGAATTAGTAAGTCCTGCTAGCAAAATCCTTTTACGAATTGTCATGAAGAGGATTGACAGAAGATTACAATTTGAGCTACTTGAAGCACAAGCGGGTTTAAGACAATGTAGAGAAATTAGGGATCACATCTTTAATTGGAGAATAATTTTTGAAAAATGCAAAGAATACAACGGAGATCTTTATGCTTGTTCCATTTATTATAGCAAGGCATTTGATTGTGTCCAACTTCAGAAACTGTGGACTGTTATGAGAAGTGTGGGGTTTCTGGCGCATTTAGTCATTTTACTTGAAAATCTTTATCATGAACAACAAGCAGCCATCAGAGCAGCTGGTGAAACATCGGATTAGTTCGAGGTGCAAAAGGGAGTGAGGCAGGTGTACATTTCTTCACCATACCTATTCAATATATACGCAGAAAATATAAGAAATGTCAAAAACTGACCAGACTTGTAACATATATTTTCTGCTCAAAATTTGTGGCAACCCTATTCCGGAACTTCGCTACTCAAATGACACAGTCCTCCTTTCGAACAGCGTAAAGGAAATAGAAAACCTAATATTGTCTGTCCAAAAGCACAGTGAACATCACAGTCTGTTCTTGAATTTTAAAAAAAAAAACGAAAATAATGTCCATAGATAAAACTAAAATAACAAAACAATAATCAATGAAGAATTTGACGAAGTCGCTAATTTTGAATGTCAAGTCTCTATAATAAATAGCAATGGAGACTGACAGAAATTAAGAGGATGGCCATAGCAATGCAAATATTAAACAGCCATAGAAGTCTATGGTTAAGCACTAGCTAGGAAATCAAAATCAGAATTTGGAGAGCGTGCATCATCCCTGTAGCAACATACGGATGTGAGTCGTGGACTATCTGCCAGTCCTTAAGAAAGAGAATAGGGGCTTTTGAGCTGAAATGCAATAGAAAGATTCTCAGAATATCTTGGACAAAGAAGAGGAGAAATACTGATATCTTGAAAGATCTGAACATCAAGAAAGATTGGCTAATAAACAGCATTCTGTTTCAGAAGCTGAAATATTTTGGTCACATCAAGCGCCACGACGGATTGGAAAAAAATTATGGCAGAAAGCATGGTACCAGGAAGGAGGGGCAGGAGCCGACCGACACGAAGATGGGCACAGGGAATAAGTGACTCCTTGAAATAAAAGTACGTGAGGCAGGAGAGCTGGCTAGAGACCAAGTTTCTTTCATACAGACGGTGATGAGAGCGACGTTGTGCAAAGGACCTGCTACGTGAGGATGATGACTGTTTACTATACCACTACTACTACTACTACTGCTGCTGCTATTCCTACTATTACTTCTACTACTACTACTGTTGCTGCTGCTGCTGCTGCTGCTGCTGCTACTACTACTACTACTACTTACTACTACTACTACAACTACTGCTACTACTAACTAACTTACTAAACTAACTAAACTAACTAACTAAACTAACTAACTAACTAAACTAAATAACTTACTAACTAACTAACTATTAACTACAACTACTAACTACTACTACTACCACTACTACTACTAACTACTACTAATAACTACTACTACTACTACTACTAACTACTACCACTACTAACAACTACTAACTACTACTACAAACTACTACTACTACTACTGCTACTAACTATTACTACTTCTTACTACTGCTAACTACTACTACTACTACTACTACTACTACTACTAACTACTACTACTACATACTGCTACTAACTACTACTACTAACTACTACAACTACTACTACTACTACTACTACTACTACTACCAATACTAGTGGTGCTGCTGCTGCTACTGCTACTCTACTACTACCACTACTACTACTAACTAACTAACTACTACTAACTAACTGACTAACTACTAACTAACTACTACTAACTACTAACTAACTACTAATAACTACTACTACTACTACTACTAAGTACTACTACTACTACTACTACTACTACTACTACTACTACTACTACTACTACTACTACTACTACTACTACTACTACTACTACTCCTAGCTGCTGCTACTTCTTTTTCTTGGTTGGTCCATTAAAGAGTGATTTGAACAGTGTGCTGTGGTTTACAACTAGGCGCCCTTTGATCTAGGATTTTTTTATTTTAGCAAAACTCTGATTAGTAACTTTATATTTGTTATGAGAAGAGGGAAAATGAAACATGTTGTGACCACTGGAAAGATCTGTGGAAGGAGCGATAGAGGAAGACAACGAAAGAAGATTCTTGACAGTCTTGTTGCATGGCATGGAGGTGTGTCAGCAAACGAACCAATGCATGCTGCAGGAGATCGAAGAATGTGGAGAGGCATGATGGCCCACGCCAGTCGTCAGGACACCTGATGATGATACCACAAGCTTGCTATATGGCAGTGTTTTTTATCACCCCCCCCCCCTTTTTTTTTCCCCAGGTCGGGCTTGAAAAAATGCCGGTGCTGTCTCCACAAAGGAGATTGGCTATAGCGTATCACTGCTATCTTTGCGAGTATGGCGTGGTGAGGCTCTAACCTCCTCCATGGTGTGACTCTCGTACCATTGTCCGACGACCATGATAACTGATTTTACCCGTCCACCGCTGGGAAGGGACGAACCGCAGTACTCGAGGCTCACGAAATTATTAACCGCATTCCCCAGCATCTTTGCCACGGTGCCGCACCCATTGCTGAAAATAAGGCCCTAAAACAAACACAGGGATCTTACGATACTAACTGTTATAGACTGACGATAAGAGCTTCTTCTTTCTCTTCTGTTACGTATAGCTGGGATCTGGTCATCTCACTTCAACTCGCTTTGTTGTTGTTCATCATTATCATCATCATCTCTTCTTCTTTTTCTTCTTCTTTTTTTTTTCTTCTTCTTCTTCTTCTTCTTCTTCTTATTATTATTATTATTATTATTATTATTATTATTATTATTATTATTATTATTATTATTATTATTATTGTATGCCTTAAAGTTTCTCCTCTTTTACATCATAATGTTCATGCTTTTCCCTCCTCAATCCGCCCCTGCCCCAACCTTCTCAGTCATCTTCCTCATTCTCTTCATGGCTGTTACCATCATTATTATCACCATCGTTTTATGTGTTAACTTCCCAGTTTCAAGGTTTTGCCCAGTCAAGGCAACCGAGCCTGCTTTTTGTAAATTTTAACAGCTAGAGGTATTTTTTTTCTCCAGTCTACATGTCCCCTCGGCTCTGTGGCTAAGTCGATGCCAACGCTTCGGGCCATGCGCCTTGCGTTGGTTTTGACAGTGGTATCAAGAAAGCCGACCGTCCAGTGAGCAATGGCAAACTATTTGACGTAAATTTGCCTAGAAAACCCACACTACAGCCAGGAGCTGTTGGAGTTGATTCTGCAACGTCCTGTAAAGGATACGCAACTAACCTACATGTTCTACTTCACAGGATACCGAAGAAGCGACTCTGGAGTATCTGCTGCGACTTGCAAAACAACAAGAACGGCGAATTGCGAGGCAGAACGCCCTGATGCAAAATCTGATGTCGCAATCCGAAGTCTTATTTGATGACCTGGAAATAATCTCGCAGATGCAAGAACGAAGACGGCCAAAATCTGGCCGTTATGACAATGCCACCACATTTGGTCGGTTGGGTGTGGCGGCCGAGTTGAGCTACAGTATGGAATATGCCCGTAGACGGACTGAGAATATTGTTAGAGAACTATGGTACTTTGTTCACGACCAGCTGAAAGATCTCAACAAAAAAATAGCAGCTGAAAAAGAGATGAATAATAATAATAATGATGATACGGCTCAGTTCTCGCAGATAACGAATCCACAAGATTCCCAAGAGATACTGAATGACAGCTGGATTCCAAATTCTTCATTGTCGCACCCCTCGAAGATATATACAGGAGAACCAGATTCAAACATAACTAGTGGGAGAGATAGCGAAATAACTCAAAATTTTTTGATAACATCAGAGAAAGTTGAAGAAAACATATCTTCTTCAGCGAAAGTCAGCAATCCTGAAGGCAGCAAAATCCCTTTAACAAACAACCCGAACAGGTTTGTCGCCCTTATCGACCACAAACTTCAGATGATCAGCCACGAGTTAACAGGCTACAGACGAGCATTGGCTGACGCCTTGACCATGTTGAGAGAAGCCGACCATTCGGAAAAAGCCCGAAAGCAAATGTCCAGGGAATTGGGCAGTTTAGTTCGGCGTTGGTTAGACTTCATTCAGAACCCCAAGAATTGTCGGAACGCACAGAGGGTCGCCTGCGCCATCAAACCCTGCGGTTTCGGCTGCAACTTCCACCACTACGTCTACTGCCTGATCACGGCGTATGCCACCAACAGGACTTTGCTGATCATAACTCCACCATCTTGGGCGACCTTACTGCAACCTGCCAGTTCTACGTGCTCTTTGACTGACCCCAAACCACCTGCCTTGTCCGCGGAAACCGCTGACGGACACTTCAGCCCACTACTAAACGAAAGCTCGCACGCTAATCTCTCTGATTACCAAGAGATGTCTCAGGTTGAAATGTTGCCGTTTATCGACGAGCTGGACGAAGAAAGCCGGGAGCACGTTCCGTTGTCCGTCCCCAAAGATCTGGCCGACAAATTAGCCACATTTCATGGAAACCCGGCCGCGTGGTGGGTTGGTCAAGTTGCCTCCTATCTGTTCCAGCCGACGTCGCTTTTAATGGTTTGTACCGCTGCTGTCTTTGAGCCCCACCCCCCCCCACCCCCCTCTCCTGCTTATCTATCTATCTATCTATCTATCTATCTATCTATCTATCTATCTATCTATCTATCTATCTATCTATCTATCTATCTATCTATCTATCTATCTATCTATCTATCTATCTATCCATCTATCTATCTATCTATCTATCTATCTATCTATCTATCTATCTATCTATCTATCTATCTATCTATCTATCTATCTATCTATCTATCTATCTATCTATCTATCTATCTATCTATCTATCTATCTATCTATCTATCTATCTATCTATCTATCTATCTATCTATCTATCTATCTATCTATCTATCTATCTATCTTCCTGTCTGTCTGTCTGTCTGTCTGTCTGTCTGTCTGTCTGTCTGTCTGTCTGTCTGTCTGTCTGTCTGTCTGTCTGTCTGTCTGTCTGTCTGTCTGTCTGTCTGTCTGTGAGTACATATAAATACATGTATACGTTTAAATGTATGTACGTGTATGTACGAATGTCAATATAAGGATGGGTGGGAGTATGTTTGAATTGGTAACCATGGGCGTGTCTACGTATGTGTTTGTATGAGTGTGTGTATGTATCTATGAGTGTAAAAATATGCATATGTATGTGTGAGTACATATATGTATGTTATGAGTGTGAATGTATGGGCATGCATGTGTGTGCATGTATGTAAATGTTCGATTACGAATTGATATATCTATATCTTTGCATGGATTTGTATGTGTATGTACGAATGTATGTATGAGCGTTAGTGTCTATATTGTATGTATCAATGCATGTATAAGTGTAAATGTATGTAAATGCATGAGTGTGAATGTATGGGCTTATGTGATTGGGCTAGTACGTGAGTCTGTGGATATATGTATGTCTATGTGTGTGTTTGAGAGTGCGTCTGTGTTAGTGTATGTATTTGTATCCGTGAGTGTATTTATTTGTGTGAGTGTGTATGTGTGAGTGTAAGAATAAATGTATATGTGGATCTATGGGGCTGCATGAGTGTGCGTGTATATGTTTGTATAAGTGTAAATGCACGTATGTATATGTATGAGTGTGTTATGTATGTTTACGTGTAATGTTGAATACATTTATTCGTATCTATGCGAGTGAATGTACTTAGGTTTATGTTTGCATGAATTACATTGTTTTGGTTGTTCGTCCTCTTTTAGACTTTAGTCTTGTTGTGGAAATTGAGTTTTGCGTGCACATCCGTTTGACTGATCTGGCTTATTATATTTGTAGACTGTTGGTTCCTCGACACTTTGGAAGATGTACTCCGATTTGAAGGAAACACCCATAATTAGTCGACTTCTAGAACATGCTTGTTATGAGGTTGCCAGTCTACCGCCCCCCCCACTCCCCCCCCCCCCACTCCCCCCCCCCCACATTAGTTCAAAAAGGTAACGTCGGGAGATGCAAACCAGGGTCATTGCACACGGTTATAAACCATAATTGCTCTGCAACCAGTACAAACAGCTGATAAGAAACTGTCCGCTTGGGTCGACGTCCGCACCCAACTCTGTAGCCACAGCGACACTCCTCCATTTATCCCAGATTGTTAACTCTGGTACCCATTACCTAGAGGCTAGGTGAACCCCGGGAACCGCCGGGTTTCGAACACCGACCGCGGGCTGCAGCTTTAGTTCAGCTTTCTGGCAGTGGGTATTAGGTTTTGCTAGGTCCCTATATGGGACGCAGTTTTTCGCTATTTTAAAGCCCCTCTCTGGCAGCAGGCGGGGCCCTAATATGACCCAACTAATGCGTTCAACGGGGTTCTGCTACTTGTGCCCCGTTGATTCTCATTCGAATGGTGGCTCTTTGTGTCTCTGGGTGTTGGTTGCTCGTTGTAGGTCTTGGTGGGATTAAACAACAATAGCGGTGTGGATTCCTGAGCCGTATTTGTTTTAATGCCAGGGGGTGTTAAAATTTAGATTCTGAAAGGCATGTAATTAGGGTTAGTCGAAATAGAATGTGTTGGGCTGAAAGGCACAGATGTTGCAGTCTAGATGTAAACCGCAAATCAGTGTGCCAATCCTCATTTAAGGGCGAAAGCAGAAGAGGTAGCTTAAAAAGAAGAAGAAGAAGAAGAAGAAGAAGAGGAGGAGCAGGTAGAAGAAGACGGAGAAGAGGAGGAGGAGGAAGAAGCAGAAGAAGAAGAACAAGAAGAAGAAAAAAGCAGAAAAAGAAGAAGAAAAAGAAGAAGAAGAAGAAGAAGAGGAAGAAGAAGAGGATGAGGAAGAAGAAGAAGAAGGATAAAGAAAAGGAGAAAGAGGATCATAATAATAATTACACTTTCTAGTGGCTTCTTCGTTGATCTTTCCACAGGATTACATAAAACAGCTGCAGAAACAACTCGGCTTCAAGACACCTATTGTGGGTGTTCACGTTCGGAGAACCGACAAACTCCTATCGGAAGCATCTTATCATTCTCTTGAAGAATACATGCTTCATGTGAAAGACTACTACGATCAGCTAGAACGATCCCAACCAGTTGCTACACGAAGGGTATTCCTAGCCACCGACGACCCCACACTACTGCCCGAAGCTGAAGAGAAATACCCCAACTATTCATTTTTAAGTGAGGCCAACGCCTCAAAGGTTCCAGTGGATGAGCGAGAACTTGAGAATTCTGTTAGAGGTATAGCGACCGACATCTTTTTTCTTTCGAGAACCGATTTCCTTGTGTGTACATTCTCTTCTCAGGTCTGTAGATTGGCGTACGAGTTAATGCAAACGCAGCACGGAGATGCTTCTGCGAAGTTCCGTTCATTGGATGACATATATTATTTTGGCGGACAGCTAAATCACCAGATGGTCGCTGTGGAATCGTACCAGGCGTACTGGGAGGATACTATCAGTCTGGAGAAGGGTGACACGATTTTGGTGGCGGGAAACCATTGGAATGGATTCTCTAGGGGCTTTAATGAGCGAACGTCTCAGGAAGGATTGTATCCTTCGTATGCAGTGGAGGACACGGTGGCCTCGTATCCAATGCCACTGTATTCCAATGTCCACTGATACATTATTTCGTTTGGAAAGGCTTTTTCTTCTTCTTCTTCTTCTTCTTCTTCTTCTTCTTCTTCTTCTTCTTCTTCTTCTTCTTCTTCTTCTTCTTCTTCTTCTTCTTCTTCTTCTTCTTCTCCTTCTTCTTCTTCTTCTTTCTCTTCTTCTACTACTACTACTGCTGCTGCTGCTACTACTACTACTTCTGCTACTACTACCACCACCACCACCACGACAACCACCAATACTACTACTAATGCCGCTGTTGTTTCTGCTACTTGTACTTCCTCCATTTACCTCAGTGATTTTATGGATTATCTATAAGCTCTTTCTGGTGTGGTGTACAAGTGGGGCTTCGCTTCTGTCTGGTTGTTTTTTTATGCAGTCGTTCTTTATTCTGCTGTGCTTCCCACTCTTGATGTCCCCCCCCCCTACCCCCCCCCCTCACCCCTTTGTATCGCTGTATGCCTCTTGCTCTCTTGACTTTAGCTATTCCTTCCACGAGTTTTTTTTTATAGTGTTGTGTCTTTCAGTATAGCCTTCTCCATCGTCTCTCTCTCTATATATCTCTCTCTCTATCTCTCTCTCTCTCTCTCTCTCTCTCCTCTCTCTCTCTCTCTCTCTCTCTCTCTCTCTCTCTCTCTCTCTCTCTCTCTGTGTGTATGTGTGTGTCAATTTTATTCAGCTTTACTCTTCAGAACCTTTGTATTTGATTATTTGTGTTTGATCCACATGTTACAGCATATTCTGCACATCCACATCTCTGGTGATTCAACAAATGTTTGTTCATTGTTCTGATCTCTGTGCCATACAACACAGTATGCCTAATATTTGATAACACTAATTTTTTAATGTACTGTATCTGTCTGGCTGTCAGTGGGTAAGTTTCGTTTTCTGTTAAAGCTTATTTTGGCTATCCATTTTTTTAGGGGGGGGGGGGGGGGGGTGTGGACACTTTTAGTTAATTGTAATTATCGTTTGTTATTTGTTCAAAATAGACAAATTTAACCTAAAATTATTCTATTTTCTTCCCGTTTTCTGCAATAGTCATTGTTATCTATTGAAATCTTAATTAATATAGTTGCTGCTGTTGATTAATTAGTCAACATAATTGATTTGAAAAAAAATAAACTTTTAATTGTGGATGTTTTTTTCCCCTTTAGCATTGCACATAACAGTTGTGTAATTATTTAACTTTTTAAATATAATAATGCAGTGTTCATGTTGGATGTTATTTTTTTTTTAAATTGCACTGTGCAGTTGTTAGTTAATAAGTAAGCATATCTAATACAATAACCTTTGTTCATACTGATGTTTTTTTTTTTTTTTTTTTTTTGTTCTCTCTATATGCGTTTTATATTAACCAGTTGTTTGTTAGTTAGTTAGTTAACTTATTTGATTTGATGTAATAGACACTGTTCATGTTGTAAGTTATTTCTCCATCATCTTCATCATTCGTGTGCCAGATGTCACATAAGGCTCGCCTTCAAATCCTCCACGAAGCTCTACAGCATGCACCTCTTCGTTTCTGACATGGATTATTTTCCTTCAAACTTTTTCTGCAGGCTACGTCTTCAGTATTACACTCACTAGCTGTTAGTTAGTTAGTTAGTTAGTTAGTTAGTTAGTTAGTTAGTTAGTTAGTTAGTTAGTTAGTTAGTTAGTTAGTTAGTTAGTTAGTTAGTTAGTTAGATAGTTAGTTAGTTAGTTAGTTAGTTAGTTAGTTAGTTAGTTAGTTAGTTAGTTAGTTAGCTAGTTTAGTTAGTTAGCTAGATAGTTAGTTAGTTAGTTAGTTAGTTAGTTAGTTAGTTAGTTAGTTAGTTAGTTAGTTAGTTAGTTAGTTTAGTTAGTTAGTTAGTTAGTTAGTTAGTTAGTTAGTTAGTTAGTTAGTTAGTTAGTTAGTTAGTTAGTTAGTTAGTTAGTTAGTTAGTTAGTTAGTTAGTTAGTTAGTTAGTTAGTTAGTTAGTTAGTTAGTTAGTTAGTTAGTTAGTTAGTTAGTTAGTTAGTTAGTTAGTTAGTTAGTTAGTTAGTTAGTTAGTTAGTTAGTTAGTTAGTTAGTCAACATATGTAATACAAACACTGTTCATTTTTGAAAGTTTTGCAGAGGGTTGTTATTGGAGCACGGTTCTGCAAAGGAAATGCCGACTGACTGACTGTTCATTTTTGACGTTAAACATATTTCTTCTGTATTACACTAAGCAGCAATTAGTTAGTTAACATATGTGATTTAATCAACTCTGTTAATTGTGGACGTTACATTCATTTCTTCAGTATTACTCCAAGTGGCAATTAGTTAGTTAGTGTCACATATCACTCCTGTCGCGTGCCTAATGTAAGGATTCCTCCTTCAGAACCAACAGCACTCAGAGATAATTATGTTGAGTCGTTTGGCTCGTATTGGTCTAAGGGATTCCCCGTGGCCAATATACGATCAACTTATCTCTGGAGTAGGGCAACTCAAGTATTGGCACTACAAAATATGTCAGTATATATATATAATATTTCTAGGCACACTTGGCTGGACACCCCCACTACTTACTAAAGAAAGCCCACAGGTTATGATAGTTCATTATCATAACCATGTTAACACATATAATGAAGATACACATACATACACAACTGCTAAACACTTAAAAAAGTGAAATAGAGACACCTAAGTCAGCCATGAAAATGAATGTATGTAATCAATATAAATTAGATATATAAAAGTGAGACAATTGCCAGATGTCTTAGGCTAGATCTCAGGATATCCTGTCCAAATCACAAAGATACTACACAGACAGAAGGTCTTGGAGATGACATCTTCTCATCACTGGACACAAGGAGCTGTGAGGAACACAACATCATGCGAAGCATCAGACTTATCTTCTCTTCTTTCTGTCTATGATGCCTCCCTCAGCTCCGGATGATTCGACTGTCTTTGACTCTGGGAATTCTGCTCCACTGGATCAAGTAGTAAGAGTACTTCACTATATAAGACGCAGCAACTGTACTGGTATTTAGCAAGTCTCTATCACCAGTAAGGACACACAATGTCTTTGAGCCACATTAAGCTCTAGCACTGGTAGCTGTTTGAGGCACCATCTCCCATATGTTGGAGATGTCAGGAACCTTCACAGGTGTTAGCTGGTGGGTAACAAGTTGGTTCTGGTGGTTTGATGGTTGGTGGATGTTGGTTTGACTGTGAATCTTCTGCCAGCTCTTCAGAAAATATACATCCTGTCAAGAAAATAACTCAACATTAGTCATCACCAAGAGGGTAACATCTTGACAGGAAAGACAGAGCAAGCATCAGTCATCAACCCCCATCTGCTGACTCCTCCCTGCTCTCCTGTTTCATTCCTCAGATTGCCTCTCCAGACCAAAAGACATAAGTCTCCTATATTTATCTGTCTGTTTAGTGCAAGAGAAGGCAAGTCAGATATACAGTGGAGATAGATAAAGTGGTCTAACACATATATCACTCTCCCTCTCCCCCTCACTCTGCACACAGACACCAATATTTACTGTCAGTACCTGCATTCACTAGCTTTCGCAACCGCCCCAGCACTCATTGATCTGGGTCAAGCACACACATACTTTGATTAACAAAGCCCTGACCCAATTCTGTCCCTATTTCGTATGTACAGATTCTGTAAGTAGTTTAAAACGTACACAATTGTAAGGGCATTAAATGTTTATCAGTATGGGTGGTTTATTGAGGGCATAAGCTATTTAGTCTGTACAGTGTAAGATCTACGTTCGAATCCGCTACTCTAGCGATCAAGAATGGTCGACTAAGTGAGATCACACAGCCGATATTGATTTCTCTACAGCAGTGACTACTTTACAGACATCATTCTAGGTACTCGTAAACTATAATTAACTTACCCAAGCATATGTAAAAACTGAGACATTCCAAATTGCTTTGAAAAGTGAAATTTATACAGGCACAGATTAACACATCTGGACGCTTGAGAAGCTGGCAAGGAGAATAGCGTCACTATGACACTTCAGGCGTTGGTACAAAAGAAGTCCCTTGTATACTGGGGCAAGGAGTAAATCGGTTTCCAAGAAACCTCAAATAACTCCCTAAATATATCTCCAAGAGATATACATTTAAAAGTGGAGTTTAGTTAAAGTAACCAGAAAAGGCAGACATAATAATGTTGTCCAATACAGGCCTATATATATAGATATAGGGGACTATATATTTCTGGGCGAGTCCAAGTTTGAATTATGTGCAGGTTACAGGTAAGACATTTTAATGGTAGGGTAGGTAAAAGAAGATCACCATGGGAGAGATACCTTGGCCCATTTAGCGACACAACCACAGATTGCAATAGAAATGGAGAACACCTGCTAAACTTGTGTGCTGAACAAGATCTCTACATTACCAACACATTCTACCAACATCGCCAAAGTCAGGTTAAAACGTGGTACAAGTGGAACAACTTAGATCAAGCGTCACAAATTGATTTTATACTAGTCAGACAACGGCAGAAGAGGAAGGTAAGAGACTCAAAAGCTGTCCCAAATGCGGGACTGGATTCAGACCATCGCCCAGTAGTTATGAACATATGCAACTCAAGTAGAAACAGTCTACATAAACAGAAACGTGAAGAAATCATCAACACTAAGAAATTAGAGGAAGAGAATATCAAACATGAATTTGAACTAGAAATAACAAAGGCTTTTGCAGATATTGCCAAGGAACCAGTAAGAATTGAAGAAGAACGGGATTATTATAAATCAACCATCACGAAGATATTAAAAGACAAGTGTGGTACCAGAAAGACGGGCAAAGGCAAGAAAAAGGGTACCGCTTGGTGGAATGAAGAAGTCAAAGAAGCAGTGTCAAATAAAAAGAAGATGTTTCAAATATGGTTAAAAACAAAAGACGAAAAGGATTACATTAGGTAGAGACTAACTCGAAGAGACACCAAGAGAACAATAAAGAAATCAAAAGAGGACTCATGGAAAAAGTATGGTGAACACCTAACACAGCTATGTACAGAATCATCAAGAGACTTTTA